CACTCAGCATCTACGGCAACAATGGCCAGGAAAACAATACCACCACGAGACAGATTCCATCCTTGATTCCTCCAGATTGACCATGGTTGAATTGCCTTCAGACCGGTTGATGCGATGGATCAACCAAGAAAAGTTGCAGACTGGCAGTTGGCAGTGTCTCTGTATCAGCCGAAGACCAAATGATGGAATGAATGGTAAGTTAGAGTGAGTGGCCGAGAGAGAGAGAATGCATTAGTAAGCTTTCACCCCCTCCTTCCCTTTTCTCCTTCCCTTTGGCTTATCGCCGCCGCCCTGCTTTTGCCAATTGATATTGATCTATCATCTGAATCACCCGCCCGACATCACTGCATCATCCTCCCCCCGCCAGTCCCTATCGTCATCCTGGTCCTTGCATCGTCCAATCATCCTCTTTCATTGTTAACCTTCTTATCGTCTTCCTGTTATTCCCCCCCTCCCCAGCTTCTGATTTCTCCATCACCCCAGGTTATCGAACTGAGGAGCTCCTCCTGCTACCCTTACAACGGTCACTCGCCTCCACTTGCGGGTCATCTCAATCTGTCCATCTGATGCAAATCGCCGCGTGGCGCCTCTGGCTCTGATCGGATCCTTCTCACTAACTCGTAAGTGAATTGCTTGGCATGTGATCTCCCCCAATGTCTTTAGATAGCTCAACACCCTTGTGCCTCCCAATACTGCACACCAAGCCCCTGCCTCTGCACCAATGACATCCCTCTAGTTTCATGCACACATCCCAACTAATGTCTTTCCTCCCCCGCAGATTCGTCCGTTCACCACGGCGCTTATGCCGGTTGATGCGCTCGACCTATCATCCCCATTCAACCTGTGTCGAGACCTCCATGAAGGCCTGTCGCTCCAGCAGATCGCCAAGCTCCTCCCACCTTTGAGAAGCATGCCCCGCCCCATCTCGACGTTTTCTCCGAACACTTCTGGGTGGACCTGACAGCCATGGTGGACAGCTCCGCGGAGATGCCGCAAGACATGAGCCCGGCCCCTTCATCTACTGCGACCCAGAGGAGAGGTGGTCAAGGACCCGCGGGGGACAATGCTTCGGCCTCGAAAAGGCGCTGTGTTAGCACCGCCTGTATTGCCTGCCGCAGGAGGAAATCAAAGGTTCGACCCGGGTGACCTCCTCGGTTGTTTCTACAGCTTACCCATTGCCACAGTGTGATGGTAACCTACCCAGTTGTGCCGCCTGCTCTTCCGTATACCACACGGCTTGTATGTATCCCGTCTTCTCCATGACGAGCTTGTCATGTTGATGTGCTCGTCTAGGTGTCTATGACCCGAACTCGGACCATCGCAGGAAGGGGGTGTACAAGAAAGACACCGACACTTTGCGCACGAAGAACGCCACCTTGTTGACGCTGATCCAAGCTTTGCTCAACTACGAAGAGGAGGATGCTTTCGACTTGGTCCGCCAGATTCGGTCGTGCGACAACTTGGAGGATGTTGCGCAATCCATCCTGGGGCAACAGAACAAGCCTTCGCTGGCCTCCGACACCCCTGTCGCTAGCGGGGACGAGGCCGATCAATTCGAGTCGGAGCTGTCGGGCAAGATGAGTGAGCTTATGTTGGACGGCTCTCGAAAACTCATTGGCGGCACTTCCAACCTCATTTACTTGCCACCCGGCTCAGAGCTAAATGAATTCAATCCCAATGCCAACCACCAGGAGCTGGGCCGGGGTGTTGACGCCTCAGTGTCCCACTGGACCAGAGTCACTGATGATGAGAAACTTATAAGCCATCTTATGAAGATGTACTTCACCTGGCATTATCCATTCTTCACGACTTTGTCGAGGGACCTTTTCTATCGAGACTATGTTCGCGGAGTTTCGAGTCAGTATTGCTCTTCTCTGCTGGTCAACACGATGCTAGCGCTTGGCTGCCATTTCAGCTCTTGGGAAGGGGCCCGTGAAGATCCGGGTAATTCGGCGACGGCCGGCGATCATTTCTTCAAAGAAGCCAAGCGGTTGTTCTTCGAGAACGATGAACATGCGAACGCGAAGCTCTGCACCGTCCAAGCATTGGCGTTGATGTCTGTACGCGAGGCTGGATGCGGGCGCGAGAGCAAAGGTTGGGTCTACAGTGGAATGAGTTTTCGTATGGCTTCCGACTTGGGCTTGGACTTCGACTCTACCAGCCTTGGAGTGCGTAATCTCAGCGAAGAAGAGATAGATGCGCGTCGGATCACTTTCTGGGGATGCTTCCTCTTTGATAAGTATGTAGTGTCACCGTCACCTCAAACTCTGATGAGACTAACCTTTTCAGATGCTGGTCCAACTACCTCGGCCGTCAGCCGCAGTGGACTGTTGGGGACATTGGTGTTTCCATGCCGGAAATTTTCCCGAACGAGGACGCTGCATTGTGGTCATCGTATACGGATGCTGGAGTCGCTGAGGACCAGGCTCAGCCTTCGCGGATTCGAGCAATTGCAGTACAGATATCCAAGCTCTGCCAGATCAATGGTGACCTGCTTGTCTTTTTCTACGATCCCAAGCCTAAGGACAAGCTTTCTTCTAAACAAGCGGAGCTCAAGAAACTCAGTGAGATCCACACTAGACTTGAAACCTGGAAGAAAGATTTGCCCAAGGAGCTCGGGCCCCAAGATGGACAGCTTCCTCAGGCGCTTCTTATGCAGTGAGTTAATGATGCTCGTGTTATGGCGGATGACAGGATCACTAATCGCTCTGAAGCATGTTCTACCAGCTCCTTCTCATACACCTCTATCGCCCGTTCCTGAAGTACACCAAGTCCACATCTCCGCTTCCTCAGCATGTCTCGCCTCGAAAGCTCTGCACTCAAGCAGCTTCCGCCATCTCTAAACTTCTGAGGATGTATAAACGCACGTACGGATTCAAGCAGATCTGCAACGTTGCTGTATACATGGCTCACACCGCTCTTACGGTGCATTTATTGAATCTCCCCGAAAAGAATGCCCAGAGAGATGTCGTACATGGTGTTCGGCACTTAGAGGAGATGGGCGAGAGCTGGCTTTGCGCACGCCGTACGCTCAGGATTCTAGAGATCTCGGCCAACAAATGGCATGTCGAACTACCCGCAGAAGCCGTCGCCACTTTTGAAAGTACACATGTTCGATGGGGTTCCTGGGGTTCCTGGGATCAGGCTCTGTCTCCTCCGGCATCAGAAGATTCTCCGCCAACGATATCTATGTCGTACCCTGATTCGAATTCCAGGGGGATCGGCCTACCCATGCCGCCACGGCACGCTGTCATGGAGGGTCACGGCGGCAACTACATGCACAAAAAATCGGCCACCACGGTCGGATCAATGGGTTCTCAATTGTTACCGGATCTCCCTGTTCCTGTCTCCGCATCAGCCATGCGTGCTGTTCAGCGGTCCTTGAACACCCAACTTGCTCAAGAGCCCGCCCGGCTCCCTGAGCCGACATACCTTCGGCCCGTCGCTCATGCCTATGCGCAATACCGCAATGTGCCCGTATCCCAGGCTGATATGTGGTACAACGATGAAAATATTCGTGCGTTCAGCTCTGTACAGGATAACTCTCCGGCAACCACGACTTCGCCGGCCAACGAGTATGGTGGTTCGGAAAATTTGGTGGAAGAAAGCCAGGATTGGTGGTCTCGAGAGTCACACCGGTTTAACTTTGGAATGGACAACTGGGTGTCGGATTGGAATCATAACATGCCAGGCAGGGCATCAGGTGCGAATCCAGGTAGCAGCTATCCACTAAACGTTGGGCAGACGTCGGGGCCAGAGAGCGCTTCGAACCCGCCACCACCCATGAGATTTGCGGTAGGTGCTCCATCTGGCACCAGTAATCCGGATCACTCTCCCGCAATCCCTGGCTATAATAACGTGCCTACGTCGGAAGCATACCGCAGGCAGTGAGCCTGGTTTGGCAGTATGATATACATAAAGTTTCGGACCTGATGCAGTGCAGGGCTTTTATGTCCACGGTTGTTACGGTTGTTACGGCTCTTACGGCTCTTACGGCTCTACGAGGCGACGCACTGGCCTTTTCTTACTAACCGCTTCTGTTCCGGTTATAAGTATATAGTCCCATTAGATGTTAGAGGTCATTATTTCGACTTAATCAGATACCAAGGTCTCCCCAACTTCTTTATGAATGGGTTGTTTATTGATAGTATGGTGGAAGACTTCAAACCACCAACATCCCTCAGCTGTCTCTGAGTAGGCATAGCAACTCACGCTCGTGTCGTGTCTGAGCACAAGCCACGCACCCACACCCAGAGCCAACTATGTAACTTGAACTCACATGTTCCATCCTTTTCAGCCCAACTTTTGCCACCAGACCCCTCGCCCAGACCAACCAGCCAATCACTCATCTTGTTCCTTTGCGAACGAGTCCCTGAGCATGTATGCACACTCCAGCCCTACATATGCACACCAATCCATTATACCAGCAAAGCAAAATGGCAAACTAGTAGCGCGGGGGGTAACCCTATACCTTCGAATAGTAGTACAGCCTGAGAAGTATCTCTAGTTACGAGGTCGAACAGCTTTAGTTTGACCCAAACAACCCCCCCCCCCCCCCCGCCTGCCTGTCTACGAGATGACTTTTCAAGGAACAGCAAAAATAACCATTTATGCCTGATACAGGCAGGGGAAGGATTATTTAGCTAGCGTAGTTTCCCTGGACAATATCCATGGTGGTTTTATGGGGTTGGGTTCCATGAGGTAAGGAAGGGGGGTTGGGGCTTGGAGGTTGTAAATGCTGGGGACGATGGATGTAGTTTCGAGATGAAAATCTGTGGATGTATGGATGTATGAAGAAAGGAAAGAGAAAAGGAAAAAGAGAGGTACAGATATAGAAGGGTTAGAAAAATGGAAAAGAAATTCCGGAATGAGTAAGGTAACGCAACGCAACGCAGAGAAAGAAAGGTCATGTCCATGCAAGTTTGTTGTATTGGTTGTAGAAGGAGTAGGTAGGCAGGTAGGTAGGTAGGTATGCAAGGCGTATATATGGTACCGAGAAGAGGGTGATGTCAGGTTTGGTTTCGTGGAGGAAGATGTATGGATGGATGGTTGAATAGGATGGAGCAGAACTTTGGTATCACTTATCACTGGTTGCGGACCGGACGAGGATTAGTTTTTTGTTTGGGTTGGATTGAAATGAAAGACTTTAGAAAATAGGGGTTACGTACCAGGAAATAATCAGCAACAGGCTTCTTCGCGGGCATACCTCTTGTATCCTGCGCGGCGGCCTCGAAGACCCGGTACCGTCGACCGGGGCTTCGGGTCACGGCCGCCGCACCGGCTGCACCGCCGGTGCTTCGACCGTAGTCGCCGTTGCTGCGGGCGACCGTGCCCCCGTTGCTGGCGTCCTCGCCGAGTTCCAGGATGGAGGCGACGTTGCCGCAGCGGTAGCAGTAGTTGGGGGCGGACCAGACGGTGACGATGCCGCCGTCGAACATCTCTTTGTACCCTTCCATGACGAGCTGGTGGGCGCGCGCGATCAGCGACAGGTCGTTCTTGTAGTTGAAGTGTTTCACAATGTCGCCCCCGAACAGGAACCCCGCGCCGCGCGGGCTGAGGCCCCAGCCGTCGATCTCGTCCGGGTCCGACCAGAGGAGGTCGCACATCGCGCCCTCGTGCGGCACTTCTTGTTTGCGGTCGATCAGTCGGATCTTATCCACGCTGTCGATGAGTGGGGAGAGACCCCCGTGGACGCAGAGGACGGCCCCCGTGCCGGTGGCGTAGCTGCCGGAGGAGTCCCCGGTGGCGCCGGTGCCTGCCCACCCGGATCGCAGGGGGGGCATCGAGGAGGAGGCGGGGGTCTGGGTGGTGGACGACGTGGCGGATTTGTCTTGGGAGAGGGAGGGGAGGAGGGGCGAGTCGGTGCGCGGCTGTTTGGGTCGGTAGCTGCTCATCGTCACCTCGCCGCGCGAGTTCAGCACCTCGGTTTCCAGCTCGCTGTCATCCAGCGACATTGTCGACGACGTGGTCTCCAGCGCGGGGCCCGTGGGCTCCAAGCCTGAGCTGGCGCCCAGCACCAGCGCCCCCAGCGCCAGGTAGTCGAAGACCTCGCAGCAGTACCGCCAGACGTTGGCGCTGCCGTATTTCCGGATGCACTCGTCGTAGAAGCCGTAGACCGTCGTGATCTGGCGCGACTCGTGGTTGCCGCGGATCAGCGTGATGCGGTCGGGATAGCGGACCTTGAGGCAGAGCAGGAGCAGGAAGGATTCGAGCGAGTAGAACCCGCGGTCGACGAAATCACCCATGAAGAGGTAGTTGGTGTCGGGCACATCGCCGCCCACGCGAAAGAGCTCCATCAGGTCGTGGAACTGTCCATGGATGTCGCCACAGATGGTAACGGGCGCGTCCACGCACACCACATTGCCTTCTTCAATGAGGAGTTCCCGCGCTTTGTAGCAGAGTTCGCGGACTTGAGACTCAGGGATCAGACGGCAAGCGCGTAGTTGCGCGATCGCTCTGCACGAGAAATGGAGGAGTAAGTCAGCGCTTTACTTTCTCTGTGTATTTGTTTTTTTTTTTTTTTTTCCTTTCTTTTTTTTTTCTGTGCGAAGTGGGATATGTACGGTCGGGGATTTTATCGGAGAGAAAACGAGAGGATAGAATGTATGCAATACCTGTCTAAGTCACTCATGCTTTGACAGTGTTCAAAGGATGAGGCTCACTGGGGTCGGAGGAAGGAAGCTGGAGGGGGAGGGGTGGGTCCGAAGAATGGAGGACCGGTTTCACTCTGGTTCAAAGCCGCAAAAGCCCAGTGATAGAGAAAAACGAACAGCTAAGTGTAGAGAAAATGCACGCTCATCTTTCCGTCTAAGAATCGCTGGAGATGAATAGTAAGACGAGGGGAAGAAGGTGGGAGGGAGAAAGGGCGTGGAGGGGTTGAGGGAGATGGAAGGCGGATGATGGTGATGATGAGGTCTGCTCAGCTGCTCGGAACTCCTGCTGATTGTAGCTTCACTGGTTGTTTGCCAATCACGGGGTTTGCAGATAAGATTAGATCTGATCGTCCAGCTCCGGGCGAATTCTTCCATTTCCGAAGTTTCCCTTCCCGAATCAAGAAACCTTACGATGATTCAAGCTTCCCCATAAACCCCCCCCCCCCCCCGGCCCTCTTCCCCAGTCCTGCTGAGTTGCCCGTGCGGTCTCGCGCTTGACTTGCTTTTTCGAGGGGCGATGCCGCTCTTTAGACCCATTCTAATATCCCTCTATTGAGTCAATTTCTTTCCAATTGCTGTCAGGTATGTGTTCCACGTCTCTGCCTGGAGTGCTCTGCCTCAATCTCACCCGCTAACGCAATGTCCCCCCCGCCCACAGTCAAAGTCACAATCACAGTCACTGCAGGCCTACCCACTCTCCGCTTAAAACCTGTCAATTGCATAATACAGCACTCGACAATGCCGCCTCATCTGCATCCTCGCTCGCGGTCGACGAGCTCTCTCTTCGCGGCCACCCTCCTCGCATCCCTCTTCGTCGTTGGCCTTCCGCATGTCTTCCCCTGTCCTGCCCCCCGCCGCACCCTCGCCGACTCCGAGATGACCGTCAATGCCGACGGACAACAGGTTCCGCGTGTCCGACGAAGGAAACGCAAGGATGCGGACCCCTTCGGCCTCGAGGATAGAGCCCTTCCTCAATCACCCATGGCTAGCGACGAAGACGTTTCCACGTTTCTCCAATTAGAAGCAGAGGCTGCCGAGCTGTCGCAAGCGGGCCATCAATGCCCCGTGCCGAAACCGAAGGGAATTTTGGGTGACTTATTGGGATTTACGAACCGCGGGGAGACACCATCACAACCCCCTTCGACGAGAGAAGCTCGGTGACTGCAACGTTTATTACAAGGAAATCTATGAAGCATCTTGAGAGGGAGGGAAACGTGGCTTGTACTGTGGAATTGGCCAACTGAAGCGATATTGTTGGCTTCGCTGGGGGGAAGGCCTCGGATTGGGGGTTTGATGCCTCTCCAAATCAGCCGCTCTAACGGCAATTATATACCCATCTTTGTATCGATAGTGTACTTACAGCCATGACTTGTGTAACTACATAGGATCACTTTTGACATTCAATATGAACATGAACAATTTACACTCAATTGGACGTTGCTTGCTCTTCATGTTAACGAGCCTGTAGGTTGGAAAGCAGGCGGGCGCGGCCGGGTTCTTTGTGGAAAGAACCACTAAGCCCAAACAGGACAGGTATCATTGGCTCAGGCTGCGCTCCGCTCCCGCTCCGGCTGCACGCCGGCCTACTAAGGCCACATGCGTCGCAAGCTCACCACAAGCATTGACATCCATGATTGCAAACCTGCGACAAGATCCAGAATGGAGTGGATGCGCTTCTTCAAGGATCTGTGTCTGAATTCCAGACACACAGTATGGCTCGCACCACTTCTGGTATTAGGCGACGCCTTCCTGTGCACCCTCATCATATGGAAGATCCCTTGTATGTCTCTGCTAAAGTACTTGCTTGCATGGACCTCCCGAAGCTAACCTTCTCTCGCGCTGTCCACGCCAGATACTGAGATCGATTGGTCTACGTACATGCAGCAGATAGCCCTCTATCTTGCCGGCGAGCGCGACTACACCCGGATCAAAGGCTCCACGGGCCCGCTCGTCTACCCCGCCGCCCATGTCTACAGTTACAGCTTCCTCTACCACCTCACGGACGAAGGTCGGGACATTTTCTCCGGCCAGGTCCTGTTCGTGGCGCTGTACCTGGTGACCCTCGTCGTCGTGCTGGCTTGCTACAGGCAGTCCGGTGCGCCGCCGTATCTGTTGCCGCTCCTCGTCCTCTCCAAGCGGCTGCACAGCATCTTCGTCCTCCGGCTCTTCAATGATGGGCTGGCGGCCTTGGCCATGTGGCTCGCTGTCTGGTTGTTCCAGAATCGGAAGTGGACGGCGGCCGTTACCGTCTGGTCGGTCGGGGTGGGCATCAAGATGACCTTGTTACTTCTGGCCCCGGCCGTTGCAGTGATTACGGTCCTGAGTCTGTCCCTCGGGCCTAGCGTCAGGCTCGGTGTGGTGGCATTGCTTATCCAGGTATGTATCCTACTGGCAATCCGAGTTCGGTTTCCGTTCTGCGGGTGCAATGTAGAAGAGACAGAAGAGGCGCAATGCTAAAAGAGAATAAAGGTTTTATTGGCGATTCCGTTCCTACGAGAAAACCCAGCAGGATATCTTGCGCGAGCTTTCGAGCTGACCAGGCAGTTTATGTTTAAATGGACGGTCAATTGGCGATTTGTGGGTGAAGAACTGTTCCTATCCAGAAGGTTCTCCTTGACATTGCTTGCTATCCATTTTGTCTTGCTGGTGCTATTTGTTGCCTTTGGCTGGCTCAAACCGGTCAGTTCTCGCCTGCCGGAGTTCATCCAGACCCTGCTCACGGGTCGACACCGCCCCGTCCCACTGTCCAAATCGTATATCATGACCGCGTTGCTGTCATCGCTTGCGATTGGTCTATTGTGTGCAAGGTCGCTCCATTACCAGTTCTTCGCCTATCTCTCCTGGGCAACGCCGTTCCTTCTCTGGCAAGCGGGCCTCCACCCCGTTCTGCTGTACGCCGTTTGGGCAGCTCAGGAATGGTCGTGGAACACATACCCAAGCACCAACACGAGTTCCATCGTTGTCGTCCTCTCCCTTGCGATTCAAGTCTTTGGTGTTCTCGCGAATAGCACCAACGCCTTCGCCGCTACGCATGCGAAGCAAGGCAGAAAGGAGCATCTCCACTAAACAACTGAATCCGAACAGTTGTCAGAGCCCGGTTATAGTGCGCAGGTGCCAGGGTATGTCGTTAAGTCTCCGGAGAAGCCGGTTCAGATCAACGCCCGTCCGCCAGATTGCGACGAGAGCGATAGCGCAGCAAAGGTCTCCAAGCTTGGAGTCTATTCCCAATGGGAAGAACATCATCACGCATCAGACTCGTCGTCCGAAGGCGGCAGTTTACCAACATTAGACTCCTCCTCGGATTCCTCGTCGTCCGAAGCAGCAACAACTTGCTTGGTGAATTCCTTGGGCCTACCACAGCATTAATAGTAATTCAAAGCACTCTCCATGAGGGTAAACCAACCAGAATGGAGCCTTGCGCCATGCCTTCTCGTCCCGGACGATGTTGATAATCTCGCCCTTCAGCTTGTTGTCGCGGCCCTCAAGAGCATTGGTGTCGATCACCACGTAAGATCCACGCTTGATCCAGATGGTCGAACGGAACCGCGAAGGCAATTCGACCAGGGCCGACTCCTTGGATGGCGTCTCAACCAGGTAGACGTTGTTTCCGGTAGCTTTGATGACCCGCGTAATCAAGTGTCCCTGGGCAAGCTCATCCGGCGGGACCATCGTCTCTTCCGCCGTGGCGAGTACCTTGCGCCGAGGAGGGCCCATATTGATCAATTGGTACTGTAACCGCGAGGGGTAATCGGGCTGATATTGTGGATAAAGAATAGAATGCGGGTGACTCTGAATGGTTAGACAGGTGACAATGAGTATCCGTGATGGAAAATCAAAGTGGATGACGGAAGCTCTGATGGGACCTTGGGCAAAGATTTTTTTTCCCTCCGAGTTGAGGAAATTCCCCAGTGCGGAGGGGGAAGTGGGCCTTGCCCGATTCGGTGATTGACTGTTTCCCCCGGAATGCACAATGCTGCCTGCCTGCCAGCTGCCTGAGTGCTACTGAACTGCCTTCCCGCTTTCAAGTCCAACAGTTGGCGCCACTTTTTGCTCACTGAGCGGCCCGGAGCGTGGGGGGAAGCACAGAAGTGCGTATTCTGAGCAATCCCTGAGCGATGCAGCTATACTGTGCACGACTAAATCCTGGATTGTACTTTAGCATACTTAAGTTGACATGCTGAAGTTGAAGTCATACAGTATCGATTTCCTCAGATTATCTCCCGAACTACCGTAATTACATGCCCTCTGCCAGAGAAATACAGTATGTAATTGTTGTGGGTATCTTACTCTCTCACTTTAGCACTATATACAAAGTAGCTCAGGTACAGTACAATATCTGTAGACTGAGATGATTGCAGGGGCAGTCAGTAACGATAGGGATCGTAAGTGCAGTACAGGACAGCAATGCTCAATGACAAGCATAAGCACGGTGTGAACCACCACGCAACCACCTAACTCAGAAAGAGCTGCGTCGGACATTACTAGCAGCAGTGCTGAGCTCATGGCGAGCCTGAAGGCTTGACTTGCAGCTACCGAAGGGTCGGGCCTGGGCCGAGACGATGTCAAACCAGCGCCGTAACCGAGCAATTTCTGCCTCCTCCGCAGACATCTCGACCTCCTCTCCCTGAACCTTGAGATCGTCCTTGCACTGTTGCACCTGTTCATCGATCTCGTCCAGGCACTGTTGTGCCTGCTCTTGGATCTCCTTCACACACTCGTTGGCTGTCATGCGGACCTCGATATTACACTCCTCGACCTGCTCGCGGAACTCGGTCTCGTGCATTTTACAGGCGTCGAAGACCTGGTCCACCCCCTTGCTCACCATGTTCTCGAAGACCGTCTGGATGTTGTCCGATTGGAAGTGGGCCGCAATCGCCCGGTCGATGTATGCTTGGACATTCGGATCGATCCGCTCTGTCTCGGGTTTGGATGACAGGTTCCAGCTCTCTACGGGTGCAGGGGTAGGCCGCTGGCAGCGGCATCCCAGGCGAGTCAATAGGTGGCGGATGAGATTGTCGGAAGCCCCCTGGAGCAGATTCTCAATACGTGCAAGGGTATCGTGTTCTATGCGGTCAAGGGATGAAGCACGCGTAAAGTGGGTGGGCTGGATTGAGGCCGATACTGGGGATGGAATGCTCGGTGTATTGGGTTCGGTGGAATAACACGAGGGTTCTGGAGATGTAAGAACATGTCTTGTTCGTCTGTCATCCTCGGGTGGTATTGAGGAGTGGTCTATATGGAATTAATAAACTACTGAGGGAAAGTGGGATGTACACGAGACAGCAATATAATAGAATACCTCGGCGCCGTTTTCCACCCACGTGCACTCCTTTTAAGTGGCTTTTGTATGAGGGTAGGTCCTCTCCCTTCTTCGTCTGTTCGGGCTCGGATTCCTCGGAGTATGGGGGAGGATCAAGCATCTTCCCAAAGACATGGCCATCTCGCTCGATTCTGCCTTTGCGCGCATGGTTGAAAACCTTCGGCCGGAGTCCTTCTTTTAGTGTGAAGAAGAAAGTCTTGAGCCGATCGAGTTCACCGTTGTTGAATTGTCGCTGGGTAAAGTGTATATAGAGTAAACTAGATTTGCAGATCATTTCAAACGCGGCGAGATTGGAGTCTTCTTGATCCGGGAGCTGGATGAGAGGCGGTCCGGCAACAGTACCCATTTCATGCAGCTGAAGTGTCAGTGTTACGACCGTCGAGATACAATGCGTCTGGGCTGGGAGTTCCGCCAAAAAGGATTCCGGGAAAAGTGTTTCGGTGGTGGGCTGTACCACTTTGTACCTTTCGACTGCGCTTGGTGGGATATTCAACGAGAATTGCTCTAGTTTGCCTTTCGGGTTAGCCAGTAAGTTTGTTTTGAAATTGAGTGATATGGTGCCTTGATTAGCTTCTCCATCGTAGTCAATGTAAAGCTTGGCCAAGCAAGGATTATCTCCCTGAGGCAAAGAAACAAGGACTTGCTTCTTCAAGGCCCAGGAGGGCTTTGGGAATGCTGTAGTCATTTCGGTGTGGTAAGATCAGCTAGATATAGGAAAACCCCCTCGATGATGAATCGAGTAGCCCTCCCACCCGGGCTTTTGAGTAACGATAAGCAGCCCTGACTTGGATCATATAAAGAATCATTGATGAGGAGACAAGATAGTAAAGTGGTGAAAGCTCTTGCGGCCTGGTCACGAGTACGTGCCCAATCCAAAGTCAACAAGTGAAATTGAAAAGTCCTATGAAAACACAGGAATGGCAGGACGGCGGCGAGGACAGCAAGAGCAGACACTTCCTTTACGTGAGAATGAAATTCGCGATCAGAGACCGAAGCCGGGAACGTAACGGCCAGCGAAAGAGGGGAGAGAGAGAAGAAAGGAGAGGAGAGAGGAGAGAAGAGAGAAGAGGAGTAGGTCCGGGCGGGGGGGGGGGGGGGGGGGGGGGGGGGGGGGGCTGGAGATCGGCGACGTTCCTGGAAGCTACGGTGCCAGGTGGGCTACTCGACCTTTCTATTTGGGTAAGACGGGCCCGCCCCACCGCCTCCGCACCGCCAAACTGCCTAACATTTGGCCGGTGACTCTTAAAAACCAACGAGGTGTCTTTAGTGGGTTCCATATACCAAAATACCAAGTTGCGTATAAGTTTACTATGGAAAATGGGGTTATTGCAAATTGGCACAAATAGCCTGCCGTAGAAGCGGATTTACATTCCTCCCTGCGTCGAGACAAATTCTCGGCCCACCGTCTTTGGCTGTTCATTCACTTTGGCAGAGCCTGGAGATTTGTAAGTTAATGGTGTTGACGTTACAGCATCCACTAACATGGAACTACTCAGTAGCTTTGTCAAAAGCAAAAGGTGTTTTCCTTCAAAAGTAAAGAGTCCTCTGGATCGTGGGTATCCGTCAAGGTCCCACACATATTCTCTGGTTCCATTGCCCAGTGGTTTGTATCAGTACCACAGATCTCGATGAGCGTTGCGCACGGTTTAGAGAGCCTGTTCTAGTCGCGTGAATTACCGCAGTGAGCGAGCCAGAGCAATCCGGGAGCGTGCTCCATGAGCGGCCAGTCAACTACCCTCTCTATCACTGCATGAACGTGCTGTCAATTCGAATACGTGGGTGTGTGCATTCCCTGTGCACTTTATTCGTATCGATAATATTTCATATGGTTACATCTGCCCGCTGCTGAAGCTTTCACATGCAAAGCCGACTGCTATCTACTCCGTGCTCAACCCACTCTCAGTCATCGCAACATGCAGACTATCCGGCCAGTCATCGAGTATTATTACGAGTCAGGTCCAGATTTCCATGCAGAGCAGTCAAGAAGAGCCTTGGTGCCAGCAGAGGCCAATCCACAAAGTCGAGCCAAGACCAGCGTGATCTTGCTGAATGTGCTGATCTGACCGACTCCGCATTGCTTCTGGCCCACGCCTTCTGGCCCGCGCCTTCTGGGGATCACTGAACGTGCGAAGGGAACATGTCATGTCCACGTACTTCTGTGAGCCTGATTGGTTCTCGGGATTTGAATTCCTATACGACTTTAGCCGATGGACTACGATTTATCAGCTGGCGGGGCCCCAGAAGAATTAGTCAGTCCATCGCCATTGCTACAAAAGACCACTGGGCGGTCTGTCAAAGGCGACGATCTATCAAAACGTGTTTGTGATCCAGCCAAAGTATAGAGCTCCGTCCTAGCGTGCCCTTACTCTTCCGAACCCTGCAGCATGTCAGCCTCGGCATTTGGCGCCCTGGTAGAGTTTCAGAGCCCAGCTTCAATCGCCAGTCCGGCTGCCGTTGTGCGTAGAGATAAGCAAGGCATCGCACACACCCCATCCGATCATGAGTTGGTTGAGCTACAGCAAGGGCGTCCACAGCCTGTCAATGGTGTATCATCGAATACTGCCACCGATGTGCAGACTTCTATCACCCCAGGTGAACTCGAAAGTCACTCAGCCTCCCCTGGAGAGAATGAGGCTTCCGGTCCTGCACCGACTTTCAGCAACCCATCCAAGACCAAATGGCGCTTCTTGAGTACCTGTTTGATAAATTTCGCGCAGGGATTGAACGACAGCGCCCCTGGTGCTTTGATCCCTTACATGGAGAAAGACTACAATATCGGTTATGCGGTCGTATCTCTGATCTTCGTTACCAATGCCTTGGGCTTCATACTCGCAGCCTTGATTACACATCCACTAGAAATGAAGCTTGGTCGCGCCAAGTGTTATGCTCTGTCCATGAGCCTGTTAGTGGCCGGATTCGTGATCATCATCTGCAAACCTCCATTTCCCGCGGTCGTTGCAAGTTTCTTTCTTCTTGGTTTGGGGATGGCCGTCTGCCTGGCTCTGAACAATGTTTACTGCGCGAACCTCGCCAACAGTACCGCGGCTTTGGGTGGTCTTCATGGGTCCTATGGAGTCGGGGGCGTCGTGGGACCGCTTGTGGCAACTGCTATGGCATCACATGGAGTTCGCTGGTCCCTTTTCTACTGTATCAACCTCGCGCTGTCGTTGTTCAACCTGGCCTTTGCGGTATGGTCGTTCGCGAATTACGAGAAAGAGCTTCCAGCACAGCTTCTGGGCGCGTTACAGCAGACCGCATCCCGGCAAGCAAACGGTGGCGAGTCAAGAAGTCGAAGCCGTCTTCTCAAGCAAGTGGTCAAGGACAAGACCACCCTGCTCGGGGCTCTGTTCATATTTGCCTATCAGGGCGCCGAGGTCTCAATCTCTGGATGGGTGGTGTCGTTCCTCATCAGCTATCGCCATGGAGACCCGTCCCACGTCGGTTATGTTAGTGCCGGCTTCTGGGCTGGGATTACGCTCGGTCGCTTCTTCTTATCGCATCCTGCCCACTTTATCGGAGAAAAGCTTTCTGTCATTCTCCTTGTGATCGGATCCATCGCATTTCAGCTTATGACCTGGCTCATTCCCAACATCATCGGGGATGCCGTCGCTGTCGCGATCGTGGGTCTCCTCCTAGGCCCCGTTTACCCTTGCGCCACTGCGGTATTCAGCAAGCTGCTGCCCCGGTCGATGCAGACGTCGAGCCTGAGTTTCATTAGTGCGTTGGGAAGCAGCGGGGGTGCCGCCTCGCCCTTCTTTACGGGGTTGTTGGCGCAAAATGTGGGCACTTACGTGCTGCATCCGATCTGCGTTGGATTGTATGGAGTGATGCTTGTGGCCTGGGCATCTCTGCCGCGTGTCGCAAAGAGGTCGGAGTGATTCCTCTTTCCAGGTTGTTATCCACCCCTATGCTTTACAAGGGCGTGTTGTGCTGCGACTTGAACTCTCGTAGTGGTGTTCTTGTTCGGTTTGTCAAGGCATTGGGCGGATGCATATTTTGCTTGGAGATGAACTCACATCGGGTCAAGGTGGAACGCGGGGTGGCAGATGACCTTTGCAATACAGTTGTGGAGTATCAGCAGAGCTGACGCAAGCAAGGGGAGCGACCTCTCCCGCCCGCAAGATCATTAGTGTAGTGTCATGAACCCGATTTACCCCTTCCTACTGTATCGCTGCTGGATTTCGGTGGGATTAGCCTTCTCCGTAGGAAGTGATGTCAACAACATATGCATGCTAAAGTATCCACAGGGGTGGCTAGGACGTGGTGCGTGTGTTGTGTTTTATTTCTTTGGGTAATGCGGATAGATGGAATGAAAAGATGAGTCGCAAGAGTCATTGTATGGGTAGGAAGGTGGGTGATCTTGTATAGATATGGGGGAATGTCACGTCAGAAGAAGGCAGACAGGCGTGAGTGATTGATGCCTCAGAATGCAAGGCAACAACATTGATCATGATTCATGATTCCCTCAGGCGGTCAGAAACCAAACGAAATTCCTCTGCCCATACCTTTAATGCACGACTTGGTATTCAAATGACCCTTTCAGTCCTGATCATACATGGGATCTTGAAATTTGAAATGAAGATGTGACATGCTGCCTATCAGTACTACGAAATTGGTAGTTGTAGCTAAGGTATACGGTTTACACAATCAGTAACTCGTTGGGTCGGAAAAAGCAAGAGAGCGAGAGACACGAGGAGCAAGTGAGTTAATCATCAGCACGGGGAGGCCGTCTTTCTCTGGACTCTCTGGACTCTCTGGACTACTCCGTACTAGTCCGTCCATTCTTGTCTCATCCAACCCGTGGTCCGTTTCCCGATTGACTGCATGGATTGATTGATGATTGATGGATTGATTGACGGCCTTGACTGACTGACGACGGTTTTGCCAGACTCCCTACTCAATCAATGAGCTGACCTGGACTGGACTGGACTGGACTGGCTTGCGTCCATGAATTGACTGACATTCCATCTCATCCACCATCATTCATGCTACTCGAGTACATCTGCTACGACTAACTTCTCCGTATGATATCTATCTCATCTTGTGCTTGTTTGTGTCTTCTACCTTCCCTGGTTTTTCTTAATTAAGTCCTTTGCATTTCTGTGCTCTTTTTCATCCCTCCCCTCCTTCTTCTCTTCCTTCCCCCCTGCAAATTGCAACTGTCAACAAAAGTAAGAGCCCCGCGATCGCCAACTCTTGTTATTGTTGTCGATTTTCTTTCCCTTCCTTCTTTCTGTCTTCCATCCCTCGTCCCTCCGTCTTCTCCCTCCCTCCCTCCCCCCACTTTCCTCCTTCCTTCCCTTTCCCCTCTCCGCCTCCCTCCTTCACTCCCGTCATCTCTTTCCCTTCCCTTCTCTCTCACTATCACTTTTTGAATTCCCCATCTCCCTCCCCCCCCCCTCTCCTTCCTCCTCCTCCTGCTCCCCGCCCCTCCCCCTCTCCCCTCCCCCTCCTCATCTCTCCTGGCTGCCTTCTAATCGCAGCAGGACCCGTTCATAACCATCCTTCTCACGGGTTTCTTGTCGACCTCCCAATAGTTCTCCCCGGCTACTTCTACCTTCACCATGGACGGGGACGAGCTCATCGCCTCGGTCTACCGCAAGATTGAGCGGGAGAAGGCCCTCATCGCCGCCGCTTCGAACATGCGACAGTCGACCGACAATCCTCTCGTGCAGCAAAGGGTCGACGCCAACATTCGCGATGGGCAGAAGAATATTGCTTACCTCGAGGAGAAGATGCGGGAATTGCAGTTGCGCCAAGAACGAGGCCAGGCATCCCCGACCGATCGACGCATCCCCTCGGGTGACGGTGCACCTGTGCCACCGCAGAAGGATTACGGCAATGAGTATGGCGAAGGGGCCGGTCAATATCCGCAGGGAGGATCAGGGTCCATGCCGTCAGGTGCCCCATACGCAGACCCTCGCCCTTTCGCTCCCGTGCCCAAGGCTCGCCCCAATTACACAAAGCTCGGTAGGCATTTCACATTCCCGGTCGCCGGGATGGAAGCGATCGAGACCTACATCCCGGGTGCGACTTGAAGCAAGGCTGACTTGATCATCTGCAGACTTGATCAAATATGACACTCAGTACCTGGGTCCCAAGATCCAGCTCATGCTGTCCCAGCTGGAGTTCAAGCTGAGTGTAGAGAAGCAATACAAGGCTGGTATCGAGAAGATGGTGCGCTTGTATCAGGATGAGGGAGATCGCAAGAGTCGTGCCGATGCTGAAGGCCGGCGGATTGAGAGTAACCAGAAGATCCAGTTGCTGAAGCAGGCCCTGAAGCGATATGAGGATCTTCACGTCGACATCGAATCAGCAGACAGCCCTGATGGTCAGTCGCATAATCACCGACGCCATCTTTCACCCTTGTTTCGTAGCTAACCCTTCGTTTCTGCCAGATGAGAGCCTAAGCACACCAAACCTGCGTAAGCCGCTCACAGGTCTGCTAACCATGCGCATCCATGCCGTGCAAGATGTAGATCATGCCACCAGCTCCCGATTCTCGCGCGGCCCGGAGACTTTTGTGGTTCTGAAAGTGGAGGATACCATTAAAGCGCGCACGAAGCCGACCCGCACAGATAGATGGCAGGATGAAACTTTCAACCTGGAGATTGACAAGGCCAACGAAATTGAACTCACCGTATATGATAAGTCTGGAGATCGGCCTACCCCGATCGGCATGCTGTGGGTGCGCATTTCGGACATTGCCGAGGAGATGCGTCGGAAAAAGATCGAAACGGAATTCAATGCATCGGGATGGGTTTCTGCGGAAAAGATGGGACATGGAGGACAGCCCGGACGGCCCGATACTGCAGGAGGAATGGGTGCATCTCATCAAGGTGGCCCCGGGGGTCCTGCAGGGCCGGGTGGTCAGGGTGGTGCGGCCGGCGCACCGGGTGCTGGCCAGGTCATCATTGATTCTTGGTTTGCGTTGGAACCAGTTGGGCGTATCCAGCTGTCCATGAGTTTCGGTGAGTTCGAAATCGCTCTATTGCGCGACTGGCTATTGGACTGACATCATGCACAGCCAAGCAACTGAAAGACCGACGTCCGTTCGATATTGGTCTCAATCGTCAAGGTGCTGTTCGGCAGAAGAAGGAGGAGGTCCACGAGAAGCAAGGCCACAAGTTCGTCACGCAGCAGTTTTACAACATCATGCGCTGCGCGCTTTGCGGCGATTTCCTGAAATATGCCGCCGGCATGCAGTGTGCTGACTGCAAGTACACCTGCCATAAGAAGTGCTATCCCAAGGTCGTCACCAAGTGTATCAGCAAAGCCAACTATGAGACGGACCCGGACGAAGAGAAGATCAACCACCGGATTCCGCACCGTTTCGAGGGTTTCTCCAACCTTTCAGCCAACTGGTGTTGCCACTGTGGATACTTGCTGCCTTTCGGACGCAAGAACGCAAAACGCTGTACAGGTAGGTGAACCCTCTAAAGCCCGAAGGTCTGGCAGGAACTGACATGCGATGCTTTACTACAGAGTGTGGTCTCACGAGTCACGCCCACTGTACTCATCTCGTGCCCGACTTCTGTGGCATGTCCATGGAAGCAGCTAACCAGATCTTGGAAACTCTTATTCGGGCAAAGGTTCATAATAAGTCTCCATCGGTCAGCTCTACCAGCCGCCTGAGCGACCGCACCTTGCGCGCTCCTCAGACTCCGCAGGACCATACATCCATGGCCTACCCGTCAAAGCCTGTCGAGCAGTACGAGCCAGCACGGCCCGCCGCTCGGGATGCCGTGAGCGCTGCGTCTATGTCATATAAGCCTCCGCAGTCTCCAACTACCCCTCAAGCATCTCAGACATCTCCCAGAACCTCGGCTTCGGCCGATCTCGCAAGCCATGCCGCCGCAGCTGCGGCAAATACTCGTCCTCCCCAGGCGATGCCAGGTATGTTCATTTCACAGGGTGAGGATCAACTTCTAGGCGGCAACTAACTCAATTTACCTACAGAACCAAGCCGCCCTGTGCAGCCCCAGCCACCCCAGCATGCTCGCTATGATCCTTCGGCTTATCCCATGTTTGAAGGAGGAGGCGTGCCACATCAGCAGATGCAGAATGTCGGTGCCCCTGGTCCGTATGGCGTTCAGCAGCAGCAGCAGCAGCAGCCGCCGCCACCGCAACAGAGTATGGCAGTGGCACAAAAGCAAGCACCTGAGGCGCCTCAGCAACAACCGAAGGTCAGAATCGGACTGGATCATTTCAACTTCCTGGCGGTTTTGGGTAAGGGTAACTTTGGTAAGGTCATGCTGGCGGAGACCAAGAGCACAAAGAAGCTTTATGCGATCAAGGTCCTGAAGAAGGAGTTCATCATCGAGAATGATGAAGTCGAAAGCACCAAGTCTGAAAAGCGGGTCTTCTTGATCGCCAACAAAGAGCGTCACCCCTTCCTCCTTAACCTCCACGCCTGTTTCCAGACCGAGACGCGCGTGTACTTCGTTATGGAATATATCAGTGGTGGTGATCTGATGCTCCACATTCAGCGCGGCCAGTTTGGTCTCAAGCGAGCACAGTAAGTGATTCTCGTCATTTAACCATAGCCAGGATGCTGATTTTCGTGCGCGTAGGTTCTATGCTTCCGAGGTTTTGCTCGCGCTGAAGTATTTCCACGAGAATGGTGTCATCTATCGTGACTTGAAGCTTGATAACATTCTTTTGACTCTGGATGGCCATATCAAGATTGCGGATTACGGTCTCTGCAAGGAAAACATGTGGTATGGTGCAACAACCAGCACCTTCTGTGGTACGCCCGAATTTATGGCACCCGAGGTAAGATATTCTTGTCTGTGCTTCTCCTTGGATTGTGTCTAACAGTTTGGATCAGATTCTCCTGGATAAGAAGTACGGACGTGCTGTCGATTGGTGGGCATTCGGTGTCCTTATCTACCAGATGCTTCTTCAGCAATCCCCCTTCCGTGGTGAGGATGAGGACGAAATCTATGACGCCATTCTCGCCGACGAGCCGCTGTATCCCATCCACATGCCCCGCGACTCGGTCTCTATCCTGCAGAAACTGCTTACTCGTGAGCCCGAGCTGAGATTGGGCTCGGGTCCTACCGATGCCCAAGAAGTCATGTCCCATGCATTCTTCAGGAACGTCAACTGGGATGATATCTACCACAAGCGTGTGCCACCACCCTTCATGCCCACCATCACCAGCCCGACAGATACCAGCAACTTCGATCAGGAATTCACAAGTGTGACTCCTGTCCTGACGCCTGTGCAGTCCGGTAAGGCACCAATCCAGTATGCAAGGTTATTTCACAGCAGGCTAACACCGCTTCTTAGTCCTTTCTCAAGCTATGCAGGAAGAGTTCCGCGGCTTCTCCTACACTGCCGACTTCGCATAAACATTCTCCGCGTAACCTCTCGACCGCCTGTGCTGATTGCGCGTTTGTCTTGTCTCTACTTTGGCCTGATGTGTTTCTCGGATTCTTGATGTTGCCGGTCTTTGGGCACCGTTTGCGCCGGTGTCTTTCACATACCCATAAGTGTTTTGAGTGCCAGTGTAAGCGTGGTGATAGCTTTTGTGAATGCAGATGGATTGATGGCTTCGACGGTGTTTTATTCTACGACATTATATTTTGTCTCCGCAACCCAAGGCCTTTGGTTGTCTTCTAATTTCTGTTTCTTTGTGGGGGTAATTGACGTGCTCGGAATATAACTCTGCTCCAGGGACTATCTCTTCTCATGATTATTGCGGTATATTTTGTGGCACGGTCACTCGAAGGATGCTGCACTTGTGTTAAAATGGTTTATTGAGGATAGAAGCTGTGTTGCGCCGGTTGACACAAGTATAATCTTACTTCACCTTCCTGTCGCTCAAGTAGTGCCTACTCGCTGCCGGTTGAGGATTTTGACATATCTCCCTCGAGGTGAAACATGCCGTGTACAAACCGCCTCTTTCACCGGATGCTCTTTGTTCGGGCCATGCCTTCTCGAGGATGGAGTGAAAGTATCACTTGTAGCCAGAAATAGGGTGGTGATCTCTCATTTGACTTTGACTTTCAACAGGAACAAGTCTTTGTTTAATCCTGAGCCATATCCAACCACCTTCCTCCCTCCCCCTACTCTCCATACTTGGTAATTTGTCTCTTCTTCCTTCTTCTTCTTCTTCTTCTTCTTCTTCTTCTCCTCCTCCCTTTGTCTTTCACCACTCACCCTTCTCAAGTCAGACAAAGGACAAGGACAGAGAAAAGAGGATAAACGGACGATGGATGACTGCCAAACACACAAAGAACAAGATGGCTTCTGACATCCACCGCAATTTATTGCCCTTCTCGCCGCCACCTCCATGTCCACGTCTGACTCCAGATGACTCCCGACATACTTCGGACGAACTACGATCGCCGCAAATTGCTTCCAACGACGCAGACGACGACAGGACTGTTGCCTGTGTGACCTCTACTCTGGGGATTCAGTCAGGATCACCCCATCTTGCCACCAATACTGACGGTACCAACAAAGACGTGAGCCCCGAAGCGCCGACAGTAACACCTGCTACTTCTACTACTCATAAGACTCAGGCCACCACCCCGAGCCCGACCCGACGCATCTACAATTTCCTCTGCTCAGCACTCAGCGAGATGGCTCGAGCCAGAAAACGAGTCCAGGCCAAATCCACCAGGGCCAAGCAAGCGAAGAGAGACCCGGACTACGATCCATCCAAGGAGGACCACCGAGACGAAGAGGAGGAATACCGGTATGGCGCCAATCTGATGAAGATCGAAGCCGAACATCTGGGGAAATACCTGCACGAGACCATCTCCGGGCCCCGGCGGGGGAAGAAAAGCTTGGAATTGCAGATTCCCGTCAAGATTGAGGAACAGGATGAGGGGGTCACGTATCCTACTCCGCCTGCTGAGAAGGACACCACTTCATTGTCAATCCAGACGACCGTCAGCAAGAGGCCGCTGGACGCTGACGCCATCAGTCCTGCAATCAAGAGGCTCAAGCTGGAGGTATCGCACGAGTCGATCCTCTCTTCTCTACAAGATACCCCAGCGCCGGAGTTGAGATTCGACTACCGCCACAATGCATTGGCCGAGTCGGCGGCAGCAGGCAATCCGAGTACGCCGACGACGAATAGCTCTCGCGCGGGTTCACCGCTGCGAACTCAAAGTACCCCGGGTTCCTTGTCGCCGGAGCTGAGTCCAGGTGGTGACGGGGTTGATGTTGATGTTGCTATGGATAATACGCCGTCGCTTAACTTGAGCCCAGTTGCTCGGGTGGGCTTTGTTGTGGATGAAGAGCAGTCGCCAACTGTGAATTCAGGTAGTCTGGAGGACTTTGCCGTGGATGACAAGCGGCCCAAACCATCTCGATCTCGGCGCCAGTCGCGCGGCAAATCGCGCAGGCGGACAAGAACCTATTCCCCCTCGGCGGATGAGAGGTTTGACTCGCCTTCGGACAGCGAGAATGACGAGAGTCTTGATGAGTTCGAGATGTATCGCATCAAGCCCCAAGAGAAGACGGGGATCGTGTTTGACTTTTCGTCTGAACGAGCTGCGCGCTGGGCAACGGCCATCAATCTGCCCGAAGGCCTGTACAACAGTGAAGAGCAGGACCTTTTCTTCCGGCTCGCTATGCGTGGCTTTGAGCCGCTCGTGCCCCAGCTCTGGCGCCACGACTTCCCGACGCTGCCGGAATCGTTGTATCCACCGACCTCGGCCCCTTCTTTCCGACCTCTTTTTCAGGTTCGCAGAAGCTCCAATCTGTATGGTAAGTGTTACTGCCGTTAGACTGTTGACTTGTGAGTTGCTGATTCCGTCCCCAGCCACCAAAGCCCTAGCCAACCTGTTCAATGTCGGGGGCCGCGTCCGGGACTGCGACATCTTGGGCCAACGACCCGAGAAAGTGATCAAGGCCGCCATCAAGCAGTACTTCCGCTGGGCGCTGTTCGATGCCGATCTCCACACCACTGACGACTCGATCCCCGTGTATGCGGTCTACGCGCAGAGGAAAGGCGAGACGACGCTCCAGGCCGTGCGGCGCCTCAACCGCCGCCTGCGCTATCTGACCTCGAAGTACCACAAGGCTCTCGGGCTGACTCAGGGGCCGACGCAGACTGAGGCGCCGGTGCAGACGGAGGATCAGGATCCGATGCAGATCGCAGAGCCGGAGCCGGAGCCGCAGGAGCAAATCCACGACTCCATCGAGACCCCGCGCAGCTTCCCGCTGCTCATGGGGTTCATCATCTGCGGTCCCATCGTCGCGATCGTGACGCACAGCACGGATCCCCAGGAGGCCGAGGCCAGCTTCGATGGCAAGTTCATCTCGCAGTTTGACCTGTCGGAGCGGGGCCAGGACGTGTGGAACTCACTGGCCATTGCGATTGCGGTGATGCATACGCGGCGGACGATGATCGGGTTGGCGGAGAAGGGGCTGGGCGGGTTTACTTTCTTCGATACGGCGCAGCCGGCGTCGGATCGGGATTTGTAGTTTGCGTTTGATACTTATGGTGTGCTGTTTAAGGGGTGGTTTGCGCTCTCAAGTGGTGTTGTTCTGAGGGTTTCATTCTTCTACATGTTTTATTCCTGGTTTGGTGCTTTATCTGGAAGGGGAGATGGGTTGTCGTCTGATAGTTATTTCGACTGTATCTTTAGGGATATTCTATCTTATTTGTTTTTGTTGACTAAGAAGTGTAAGTAACTAGCTGGGGTGTAGCGGATATTCTGGTTCAAGTACGTCTCCAAGATCTCCGAGTTGTAAGGGCGCATACTAGTAGGGCTTCTCAGGATATATCCAAACGGTGTCGATCAGCCACTGGCAATCCAGCACGAGGATATCCCACCCTACTGATACACAATACCCAAGCTCTATTCAGATTCCATCAAAGATGAACATCAAGTCCCGGTTGCAGAAAGTAATGAATCCATGTGGAAAGGGCCATCAATCCAGAACAGGTCACATGACCGGCAGCGGGCTCTCTCCCCAGCGATTCCCCCACCGGTCTCCCCAACTACCTACTGGTAACCCATCACTCTCAATCAACAACCGTACTCTCATCGTCTGAAAAGCCAAAGGCCAAGAAAAATCGAGCTTCCAGCATGGACGCGGCCGAAGACCGCGAGGTCAAGCTCCAGCGCGCCTCAGGCGACCTCGTCAAGGAGTTCTCCGCCAAACTACCCTCCTTGCTGTGGAAGTCCGGCCCGAAGCACAACAGCCGAGTCCCACGCCGCTGGACCCCGGCGGCCAAGACGGAGAGACTCGTTGCGTTGGTGAGTTGGATCTCCAGCTTTCCCCCAAAGCAATAAAATCGGCTTTCTCGGGCCGAAAGTGAGTTCATAGACCAGCCCAGCTAATGCGAGTAAACAGCTGGAACCCTTCCAAGAATGGCCCCAACTCCTGGACCCGCACCTGCAATCCCTCCTCCCGCCCCTGGTAGACGCCTTCCTGGCCTACCTGCTCAAGTACCGTGAGGAGTACGCTGGTGCCGGAGCCGGAGCCGGAGCCGGAGCCGGTGCTACTGCGGTACATCAACACTCCGCGTACCCGCTTCCCCGCGCGATCAGCCGCCTCCTCTACACCTTCTGCAAGGTGCGGGGCGTGAAAGTCATCAGCCGGTTCTTGAATAATGAGCCGAAGTATCTGGATCCGTTGCTGCGAGCGTTCATTGCCTGGGATGCGGATGCTGCTGATCAGAATGAGGCGCGGCCGTGGGATGTGCCCCGGAGGATGGTGTGGGAGGAGCGCTATGTTATGCTGATTTGGTTGGCGCATTTGTTGCTGGCGCCGTTTGACTTGGCGTTTTTGTCGTCGGAGGATTTGGTTGTGCCGTTTGGGAATCTCCAGCAGGTGGGTGTGGGTGGGTTGATGGTGAGTAAAGAGGGGGAGGGGGCAGGGACAGAGCAAACACCCAGGCTGGCCAGGGCGCTGCTTTCGCTGGCATTGGAGTATGTGCATGTGGCTGGGAAGGAGCGCGAGGCTGCCACGGTGTTGTTGGCGCGGTTGGTTCTCAGGCGGGATATGCAGGCGTTGGGGCTTTTGGGGGCGCTGGTGAGGTGGGCTTTTGGGGTGTTGCTGCCTGCTGCTGCTGGTGGAAGCACGGATTCTACGACTACTCCTACGTCGGTCTATACGTGTATCGGCCTGTTGTCGTTTCTGGCCCGCTTGGCCGCGTCCGCCCAGGTGGAGGACTTTGCCCCCTTGATTATGCCCGTCTTTCAGCAGACGCTGCGCATCGTGCAGGGCACCTTGGAGGTGTCCCAGGTCATTCGGTCGTCGGCGTCGGCGAGGAAGATTGTCATCAAGATCCTGCGCGCGCTGACGGTCATGGCGCTGGCAGCCGGCGAGCGGGCAAGCTGTGCACTGACCGAGGATGAGGTCTCGAGTATCCTGGAGGACTCCATCGATCACTTCCTCGTCTCGCTGGCGGATAAGGACACACCCGTTCGCTTTGCGGCCAGCAAGGCGCTGAGTATCATCACCCTCAAGCTGCACCCGGAGATGGCGGCCGAGGTCATCGAGGCGGTCACCGGCTCGCTGGAAGAGAACATCCTGTACCAGAAGCCGGACGGCGCCATCGTGACCCCCCTAGAGGCCCGTCGCATCGGCATGAGCAGCCTCAAACGCAACCTGAGCGCCGTGGACGCCCAACGATGGCAGGGCCTGGTCCTCACCCTGGGCCACCTGCTCTTCCGCCGCGCGCCCCCCACCACCCAACTGCCCGCCGTGCTGCAGCCGCTCGTCTCGGGCTTGGACTTCGAGCAACGATCCTCGACGGGCAGCTCGGTGGGCACGGGCGTCCGCGACGCCGCGTGCTTCGGCATCTGGGCGCTGTCGCGGAAGTACACCACCCAGGAGCTCCTCGCTCTGACGACACAAA